CTGTTAAACGCGTAGTAGCTTATGTTCTGCGATTCATTAAAGAAGCGCTCAGTCGCGTGAACAAGTAACGGACATCGCCAATCGCCCTTTCATTGATCTTCAGAAAGGCCACCATCGTGGAATCCATAACACTCAGTGGAGGAGAGATCAATATGGCCAGCAAGATGTTAGTCAAACAACATCAACTGTCTCACGTAAATCAGATGATTCAAAAATCGCTGTATCACCTAAATCTGTATGAAGACAAGTACGGTATCCTAAGATGCCGTGGACGATTGGGAAAGAGCGAATTAGAGGATTCGGCCACGTTTCCTATGCTAATTCTCCAGAAGTCATGGCTATCACAGAAGATCATCGAAGAATGTCACAGTCATCTTCATCTGAGTACTAGTCACACTATGTGTCAAGTACGCGAGAACTACTGGATTCCGCAACTTCGAGCGGAAGTAACAAAGTTTATACGACGTTGCGCAAAATGCCAACGCTTAAACAACTTACCCTTCAAATACCCCGAACAAAGTCATTTACCGTCACGCAGGGTAAATAGATCCCGTCCTTTCGAACACGTAGGACTGGATTACTTTGGACCCCTCTCAGTGAAAAATGAAGAACGGATTGACAAATGTTACGGATGTATCATCACATGCCCCGTCACCAGGTTGATACATCTGGACATTGTCGAAGACGCGTCTACACTCGCGTTTCTCCAGATGTTAAGACGCTTCTTCTCAAGAAGAGGAGTTCCAGCTTCTATAACGAGCGATAATTCTCCTACATTTGCATTAGGAGAAATTCATCCTTTCCGAGTGTTATCAGCGGATAAAAATGATGTCATGATTGCTAAAGAAGTAAGCAATCGACAAATAGAATGGATTTACATAACACCTTACGCACCGTGGCAAGGAGGGGTATACGAACGACTAATCCAGTCGGTAAAGTTGGCACTTCATAAATCCCTAGGAAAAACTATACCGGCACGCGGAGAACTGAATACCCTCATAATAGAAATTGAGGGAATATTGAACACTCGACCACTTCTGTACGTTGAATCGGAATCCGATACAGATAAAGTCCTAAGACCTATCGATTTCTTACAAAACGAGTTCGAAGTACCAGCTGTACTGGAAACGGAAAAAGAACATATTGACGACCCCACATACGTCAATCCAGCTGATCGCGTAATCCTCCAAACGAAGAGTCAGACGCTTGAAACACTAAAAAGTTCATGCCAACTAACGGAAAGATTTTGGCAGATTTGGCAGTCTCAGTGTATCATCACGTTGTTGCGAAACAGAAAAACACAAGATGAGATGTAGGGAAAAAACGGGGCTCACGTTTGGCACCTAATATAGGAAAAATTGTGCTAATCTGTGAGGCTCTTCAGCCGCGTTACCAATGGAAAATGGGACGCATTCTGGAACTAGTCAAAAATAAAGAAGGCATAGTCAGAGAAGCGGTGGTACTACTCCCTAATCGCCGGAAGATTAGGAGACCTGTGAACCTGCTAACTCCGCTCGAATTGGACGACGACAGTACGGAGATTCCTGCAGAAAATACAGAATTAGAAATCGAATCCGAACAAAAATCAACCTCGCGTTATAACCTTCGCCGGCAGAACAAAGTCGATTATACGGAGAAGGAGGAAATTCCGAATCAAGTGACATCGACAAGTTTCGTCGCTACAACGGTAACTGAGAGATGCTCAGACTCCGGCAATCAAGAACAAACAAACAAGTTTGGTCAGATCAAGTGGCTAGACGCATTCCTTAGACCAGACAATTCTGTTCAGCCAGGCAGAATCTTGCCCCCAGAAGCTAAGCACTCCCTTGGGAGAAATAACAGCTACTTCGGTAAACTCACCTACAGGGGAATCATCAAAAGATAGAGCTAAAGAAGTAAGGAGGGAGTATCTAAATGTCGCCCGCGTAAGTCGTTGCGTTCACTCATCGTTATCAAAAATTCCGCGTACAATATACAAAGACTTACTTAGGCCTGACATACGCGTTTGGAAGACAAATTATTTACTTAAAAATGAACAATGCAGTTTTTCAGTATCAGTGTTCAAAGTTCAAACGCGTTCTTTCAGGATGGCGGCGCGTGATTCTGAAGACGACACCAAATACCTGTCGGAGATGATTTTGCACCGACACACCGCTTTGAATCGCGTACAAGAAGATCTTAAAGCGATTCATGAAGTATTCCAACAACAGATCAGCGTGGCAGCCATGATGCAGTTGCAGTGGAACTATTTAAAAACTGAGGAAAGTTTCATGCTTGGAACGCCCGCGTCGAAGATCAGAACCATTTCCAAGCAAATGAAGGAGTTGCTGCGGACCAAAGAGAAGATATCGCGTATGGGAGTTCGCTTCATTTATACGAGCCAGTATTACAAGGAAGTCGCACATCTTGGAGAAAGACATGTCAACGTGTCAGTCAAAGAATGGGACAAGGAAGTCGAGAGCATGCTGCTTCAGCTTGACAAGAACAAGAAACGATTTGAAGAAGTCATCAACGAGATGGAATTCGAGTTGGAAAAGGCTGAGAAGGACTTCAATGAAGGCCCATGCCACACTAACGCTGAACACATCAACAAATTGTTTCGCAGAGCTTTCGAGAACCTGACGGCTTCAGACAAGGATGACGCTGATAAACGATTTGCTGATGTTCAGAAGAAAATCGAGGAGCAGTCGGAAGAAATCTCGCGTATTAAGCAGATCTTGGATCAACCGAAGAAGGTAGCCGAACCAAACGAGGACGAGGAAATGAGCGACGATGCTTACTGGTCGCGTATGGTCCAAGAAGTGCAAGTGAATGAAGTAAATCAAGATCCACCCGAGCTCGCGCCTGATGACGATGTCGAGGGAGACTGGGAAATGCGATCAGAGGATGGTACAGAAGAGACGATCGAAGAAGTAAACCCAGGAAGGAAAAACGACCGCGTTGTTGAAGTGGTGCGCCCAGAGCAAAGCTCGAAATCGCGTCACTGGGACTACGAACAAAGGGAAGAGAGAGCTCAGGAGAGCTCACAGAACGAACTCAAATACAGGATTTACTGGATGGAAAGAGATCTTCAGAACTTTCCTTACAGGAAGAAAGAGTGGCGTTCTCCTAATATGAAGAGAAGACTGACATGCGCGTTTTGCGACGTGGAGGGAGAACACTTCTCCGATTCATGCCCCACGATAACAAATGGAAATCAACGATGGAACATAGCCCTGGAAAAGAAATACTGCCAGTACTGCCTGGCACGATGTGGCAATTCGAAAGACTGTGAATCCAGAAACAAAAGTTGCTACTATTGTGATCGCGTATCACGCACTTCCTTTGAGTATTTCATTCCGGATGACCACGGTCACAACACGGCATTATGCAATATTCCGGACCGAAAGGCAGATGCACACGAGTTTTGGAAATGCCCAAGGGGAATTATACGAGCTAGAGGAAGAGCTATATGCATTGGAACGCGATAAGAGTTATGGGGAACGACAGTAAGTCGACAGGTAGAAATGAAACGGTTTATCACAGAAGCTTATTTAATCGTTTACTGTTTTTCAATATTTGTTCATCTGTTGTTTTCTTACCTCCTATACTTCAGTATGTTCTCAAATAAGGCTTTCTCGCTGGGCGGAGTGACGACAAATCGTCCTACTATCCCGCGCAGGCAGATCAAGCGATCGATCGCGCGCGAAATGGCCATATATAAGCGAAGAGCGGGAACGCGAAGATATCGTTTTCATTTTGCTTCAAGTACTGACCTTTATTCTTACTAACGCTGTTATTTTGGATAAAATTTCCTAATAATAGTGTCCATTTGAGGATAGTTCGCGTATTGATCGCGTAAGAAAACTATTCGCGTGGCAGGCATCTCACATTTCGCGTATACACGAACCTCATCCTCATACCACTTCATTTCGCCTCGCCCCAGTGTTGTGGATACACAACCTATACGTTCCTACTAGAACTAGGATTCATAGAAATGAATGATAACGTGCTAGTTCAAACTATTTACCTTAGGACGTTCTATAGATGAGTATCTCTTGAAATGATACCGCAGGCATGACCTGGCGGTATCATAAGTGTGCAATCAAGTAGGTAACTTAAATATTGCTGTTGGCGCGGTCCGCCCTTTCATCCCCCGAGCTTGAGTACCGCCACTGGCCCCCTACGGTCCAGCGGCGACACGGTATCTGAGGACCGCCCACATTTTCTGTATATAAACCCCATTGAATGCATTATTATTGTCGATTCTTACACTAACACGTCGTAATAAATATTACACGTCACTGGTTAAGTCTTCCATTGCCACTCAGGAAGATCACTGATCTTCAAGCAGGAGAGCATCAGCGGCGGGCCTAGATTTTAGATGGCCTGAGCTGCATTGTGTTAGAGTGCGTAGTCTCCCTAGCCTGACAAGGGAAGGATACCAAGTCGGAGTTTTCTTTTGTGGTAAATCCTATACTCACACACGAATGCTGATCTCAAATATCTCTTCCAAATGTGCGGAATGATCCCTCGAACGGAGTTCTTATTTTTACAACATTTCATGACGAAGGAGTACATCACACGTGTACCGTATTTGGAAATTGGCGGACCCTCCAGCTTAGTTTTGCACTTTCATCTCTTCATCTGATCGCGGAATCCTCAACACGTCACAGGAGTGTTGGTCGTCTCAAACCGCTGGGAGGAGAGATCGGGCCAGATTGATGCAGTAGGATCATCACCGTCGGAGGACAAACATCAAGGATCGAGTCGATGCCAGGCCAGAGGATTTCCAATAAAAATGATATTCCGCCCACACAAAATTTTCGTGATTCTGAGGCGTCCGTAATTCTTAGTTACTTCAGTGTTTTATCACCACACAAGTTAAAGAATCTGAAATTCGCACGTTTTCCAAGGGATATTTTATCTTTCAAGTGAGTCCTCAAATCTGAAGGGATGTGAAGCACACGGCGCATCCCAGAGTGGGCCCAGTTGGTTGCGCGGCTCTTGGAGAAAGAATCTCAATTCAGGAAAAATCAAGAGGATTCTGAAAGGGTTCATGTGAAATTACAGGGAGGAGTACTATTCAACAAGAAACGCAGCCTTCAGCGTCAAATTCACAAGCATGTAACCTTTAAAGTTGAGAACGCTAAACAATTTTACACTTTTTGGAAAGAGAAAAGCACGAGGATTTCGAATCTGCTCCTACTTTAGTATGTAATCGCCCCTGAAAGGAGCTATAGTCGTTGAAATAGTGCCAATGTAGCGAAAAAGTACCTTTCGGCGGTACTCGGGCAAAAATCCTCAACGTGGCCATTTTTTAAATAGTGGACGTATTTAGCAGTTTTAGTGCCATTTGATAGAGCAAATCTTCTAGTTTATGATGACGTATTAACTTTTCAGATTGGATGAGTTTGAACGGAGTTATGGCTTTGGAAAGCGTAAAAACTCGCACTCATCACGAATTTTCCTCGTTAATTTTGCAAAAATCCTCAACGTGGCCATTTTTAATACTGGACGTATGAAGCTGCTTTAGCAACCGTTTGATAGAGAAAATCTTCTAGTTTTGTCTGCCATATTAACTTTTCAGATTTGACGAAAATGAAGCAAGTTATGGCTTCGGAAAGTGTAAAAACTCGTGCTCATCATGAATTTTCCTCGTTAATTGATCTAAATTTGTTATTTCTTATAACTTTTTGTAATTTCAATACTGATTAGAAAGAGCTCTTCACAAAACTCCCAAATCTGCTTTCAGATTGAAAATTCGTCAGTTATCATTTGAAGAAAGTTATAATCATTTGAATATGTGTTCAAATTTCAATAGTAGATAAGCTGCTCCACGGCCGCAAAAGACCAATCAACACCCAGCTGGCTAAGGCGGTTACAAGGCTTCTTTCAAGCGAAAGGGGGTGTAAATTGAGAACCATACTCTGTGTAGTACTAAAATTTGGTAAGTCTTCGGAGGAAATAAATAAAGAAGAGATGTTCATGAGTATGATTCATTATCGGATATCATTAGTAAGAACACAACATCAAGAAAGAAACAGAAACAAGTCACCGATAAGTAAAAAAAAAACTCGAAATTAAATGGGGTAGCAAGGGTTGAAGCGTGGGAGTGGAAAGTCGGCAAGAAGGGCAGTGGCCGCCACACTGCAAGCTCCTGCGGAAGCGACGACGTAGAACTCCGGATACCGACTTAGTAGGTCCGCCAACTTGCCGAGATCCAACTCTCCGCATCGCAGGCCCAAGGGGGATTATTTCCAAAACAACATGAAGAAATGAGACGTAAAATTGAACAAACAGGTAAAACATAAAATCTGCAAATCATTACAAATTCAGGTAAATTAGCTATAACCGAATGAATCGCTTCTCTGCCTCTTGAATTTAAATTAGTTTAGTTTCTTGTTCTTAAAACCAACCTTGAGAAATCATAATTTTTTGACTTTTCTCCTAAAAGAGCTTGCAGAACTCGAACGCACAACAGATGGTGGTAAATCGTTCCAGAAAGTAATAATCCTCTGTGTGAATGAATTTCGAAATTCAGCAGAGTTGATTTTCTCTCTTAAGAGTCTATAACTATGCCCTCTAGTACGGCCAATTGTTGTTGATTTTTTAAACAACGTATCAAAGTTCAAATCTACCTGTCCAGCGGAAAGCTTGTAACAAAGTCATAGTAGGATAATTTTCTCCTCATATGAAAGTGCTCTTTGAGGTGGTCAAGTCTGTCTTTATAAGACATATGAAAATTAGCGAGCGAAAAATTTTCAGTGAATTTAGACTGGACGCTCTCAATAAGTTCAACCATGTTACGCGTAGAGGGACTCCACACCATGGGACAGTATTCTAGAAGAGGGCGAACATAAGTAGCAAAAAGCTTGAATAGTTTCTTGTGCTCTTTGTAGAGAAGGCACGCAATATGAAGTTTGCTCTGCAATGTGCTGAGTGAACCACTCTGGTAATATATTCATTGAAGCACAATGAGCGAGAATAAGAAATGCCCAGGTCAGTGAGTAAATCAGGTTCCTTTACCTCAGTTCCGTTAACCAAGAACTTTGGAGCGGATCGGCAAGGAGGCCCCAAACGCAAGACAAACGTTTTATCCAGAGAATGGTAAGTCCCTATCTACGAGCCCAGCTTGACACTGTATCGTAAGCATCTTGTAACCACCCGCATACATTGAACACTGTGTATCAGAAGGAAGCACAGTGGGTAAATCATTAATGTACAGAATGAACATTAAGGGTCCCAGGCAAGAACCTTGAGGAACACCGCTGTCAGTTCGATAAATTTGAGAACATGTGCCATTAAGAACAACCCTTTGAAACCTATTAGAGAAGAAAGATTTTATGAAATTGAGAAGACATCCAGCAATCCCAAGTTGCTCCAGTTTGAGAAACAGGAGAGGTAAAGGTATGGAATCGAACGCTTTAGAAAAATCAATGTATGCAACAAAGACCGATTTCTTTTTGTCCATGGCGTACTGCCATGCTGGATATAGAGGAAAGAAGTGCTGAAGCGGTCGACTTTTTTGGAAGGAAACCATGTTGACAGGGAGACATGAGACCCTTCGATATGAAAAAGTTTCTGATCCTATCACACACCATCCTTTCCATTACTTTACTAACTGCCGAGGTGAGACATACAGGCCTATAGTTCCTGTAGTCGCTCTTGCTTCCCTTTTTGAATATTGGCCTAACCAGTCCCAATCTCCAGATAGCAGGCACTTCCCCTTTCAAGAGTATTCTGTTGAAGAGGTGTGTAAGGGCAGGGGTGACACCTTCTGCAGCCTTCTTCAGAAATATGTAGGGCAATCCATCAGGTGAGGTAGAACATCGGAGGGAGCTTGTTCAGGGTGCAGAATACATTATTAAATATTAAATATTGTAAAATGCCTTGAAATATTCTGCAAAAAACTTCAACCTTTGCTATGTCTAATGAGCACACAGACCCGGAAGGGGCTAGAATGGTTCCAATTGAGGAGGAGTCTTTCAACCTAGCATTACAGTAACTCCAGAATCTTTTCTTATTTTTGGAAGAAGCAATGTAGTCTTCATATTTAAGGTTAAGCTTCGCTAATTTCTTTCTCAGTAAGCGAGAAAGGTAAACATAGCGCGGATTATTTAAGTAATTCCCACCTATGAATAATCGTCGAACTTGAGCCTCAACCCTTCGTAAGTAGCAGGGAATGTGCAGACTAACTTGGTGACACAACCGCGTGGAACAAATCGGGAAATAAGGGAATGACAAGTATCAGCGAAAACGAAGTAACATTCATCAATAGTCTCTATAGAGTCAAAAACACGACGCCATTCTATTGAAAGAAGGTGGGAACATATGGCACTATTGTCACCTTTAGTGACTATAGTCCGAATCCGTAGTCTAAAGTTCGATTACGGTCAGTTTGAAAAGTGTGACCTGACAAGGGAGAAAGATACCATAGCATGATCAGATGTAGAAAAGGGAACTTGGATTGATAGATTGCTCAAAAGGG